ATCGTGATCGGGGTCGTGTTTGTTTGCTGATTGATAGGAGATGAAATCTGACATGTCACTCCATGACTGAAGTCTGTGAGTTTTCTCCCCTGTAACGAAACACAGAGACGATTTGTTTCCACCACTGAACAAGAAATCACAATAAAGTCTTGTTTTGCTGTTGACGTTTTGGTGGGGAAGACTTCACTTCATCCAAAATAGCAACATGATCATTTAAGAAATACTCCACGAGAAGTAAGTACACTCACTTCTGCAGAACGGCCCTTTCACTTTGTTTTATATTCAGTAGTTTAGAATTTCTATTATTACTTATGTATCATAAGCCTCGTTTTAATGTTGTATCTGGTCCTGCTGAAGCTGATATCAACTACTTTATGTGCTGTTGTGTAGTTAATACATGAGATTGCATCATATTTTATAAGTTGATTATTTTTTATGACAAATCTGAATCTGTAAAGTAACTAGAAACTATCGCTGTCAAATATATGAAGTAGGAGAAAAAAATGAATGATTCTTTGCTGCGTGCAGTGAGGCAAGATGGATGAAGTGGCTTGAAAAAGTAGAATAAAATGGAAATAAAGTGTGTAGTTTTATGTAAGTGAGTAAATGTGTTTAGTTGCTTTCCATCACTGGATGCCGTCTCAAAGCTAATCAGATCTCACCATTTTAACCTCTATGTTTCAAGCAGGAGTAAGTAAAGATTAAATTATGTAACACGCTGGACTCAAAGGGGCTTTGGGCTAAATGTTGACATCAGCATATTTAACATGCAGTAGATGGAGAGTGAAGGGATCACTAAAGGTGTTCACTTCATCCTGAGGGGGAATATGGACGTCAATAGCGATCAGTCCGATCCTTGTTGAGATTTTGCACTCCGAATCAAAAATGTCCACCTCATGTTTGCTCGGTAGGATTCATCCTCTGTGGACGACGAATGTCTGTGACGAAATGTCAGGCCCGTATGTCCCGCAGTTGTTGAGATGTTTCAGTCTGGATCAGAGCGGTGGGTCAAACAACCAAGCAATGATAGAGCCATGACTGCTGGCATGACTAACAATCTGAATTTGTGAAGAAACAGCCTAAAAAAGTAAAATTATTAATACTGAAAGTGAAGTGAAGGTTTATAGGAGTTTTAAAAAAAAAACCCAAAAATCTGTACTTAAGTAGAGTGTTGGTGTGAATGTGCTTCAAACCTCCTCTAACCTTACAACTATCACCTCGCACTGTTTGAGTGTGTTAAAAGGCACAAGTATTTTCTTCTTGTTCCTGCTCTGAAAGGTAGCGCAGCAATCATAATCTCGCCAACGTGCACGAACACAAAGCTTCACAAACGAATTCACATTTCAGTTTGTCACTCTTCATTTCGCTGCAGACCAATCCCACACGCATCACGGCCTGGTGTGCTCAAACGGGCTGTTTTGACATCGTGGGGGGGGGGGGGGGGGGGGGGGGGGGGGGGGGGGGGTGAACAGTGAATGGCGGGTTTGGCTGGGGCGCGAGGTGAGGCGTGCCTGTGGGCTGACGTCAGTCCCCGGCATGTCGAGAGATGGCACGGTTGGATGATCCCTGCAGAAGGACATGCTTTGTTAAAGTTGGGACTAGGACGTGCCTCCACATGAGAGACGGCATGTGTTCTTTTTCCAACAGATGGCAGCGCTCCGGCGACTGGAGGGAGAAGACAGGAGACGGAGTGAAGGGAAAGGAGGGGGACAGCCTGTGGTTTTCCCCTCTTTCTCTTCTTCTCTTTATGACTTTTGCTTTTTATTTACCCCTTACCACTGCCTGGGGATCCAAACGTGGCAAACCTTGTTTTTATTTGTCTCAAGACGGTGGTTTGATACTGTATCTGCCAGCGCTTTAGAGCCATGCTGGCCCAGAGTTCCACTGTTGTTAAATGTGCAGCGATGAAAAAAAATCATCCCTCTGGTTCTCATTATAGCTCTACGGAATGGCTTCTTTAATTCCTTATGTTTTGGAAGGCTGTGACGTTTTTTTGGGGGGTTTTTTTTATTTATTTTTTTGATCTCACCGTGTTGAAATCAGCCCTGAGCTGGTTCCAGTTGGTGGTTTATAAAGCGCTCTGCTGGCGTGGCGCACTCACATGACAATAAAAGTGAAGTATTTACTTTTGTTTTTCCTAGAGATGTGTGGGCCAGGCCTCTCTCGCCATTGAATCATCTCATAAGACACGCTGCGCCTGCTGCACTCATTCCACATCAGCTATTTGTGACGGCAAATGTCAGAAAGAGAACATCTGTTTTTGGAGGGATAAACATCAGCCCAGCATCACGCACCGGTCATCTGCATCTACCACTTGTTGTCACATCATAGTTCGGGTCTGATTGTGATTATGAGAGGAAATTTAATTCAGAGGATCCCAAAGACAGCAGCCTGTGAATGACAGAGAAAATCTTTGAGCCAGTTAACAGTAATGGAGATTGTTCTCTTAACCACAGTGGTGGTGGAAGTGCTGAAGTGTGAGGAGCCAGCCCAGGATGTAACAAGACAAAAAACCAAGTAAACGGCTGGACCGCGTTGTATTTGCATTCTGCCGAGTGTCCGCTGGACTTTATCTGTTAGCTCCTCTCCTCCTCTCCGTGCTCATATACAGTACTTTAATCCAGCTGCATTCACAATAACACTGTTCTCCTTTACATGTTTTTCTGTTTCTGTCGTCAGACAATAGACCGGGTGTGGAATAGTGACTGAAATTAGGACTACATGTTAACCAGCAGTCGCTTCTAAGCAGCTGCTAAAATCCTGATTTTATAACGTTGTCCGACAAAATCGCCAAACACGTAAGTTAAAGACGAGGTCTGTGCTGTGATTTCGGCTATATTTACTGTAAAGTGATCGCTCAGAGAGAAAGAGAGACGCCCATTCGTGTCGGAGGCTGTGTGTTCAGCAGAGAGAGAGGGAGTGTCTGCAGAAGGACAGTCCGACCTTGTGCTCGTGGGGTAATACTGGAGACTGTCTTCTACGCAAACGTAGCTAATGTTTGTCCAACAGGTCGCTAGGTGCTAAAGGTGCAAAGCTGTCAGTGCTGCTTGTTTGAGTTTGAAAACATGACGATGTGCTGGCCAACCAATGGCATAACATGGTCACTCAGTCAGTCAGCGACATTCATGTTTGTAGGGATGGCCCTCCTGTCGCGGTCCAGGCAAAAATACTCCATTACAAGTACAAGTCCTGCCGTCACGTGTGATCAAGTGTGAGTGTAAAACACTTCGAAAAAGACATTTTAAAGTTTTTAGATGATGTTATGAGAAGTTGGTAATAAAATATAAAACATAAAACAATAGAATATAAAACATATTGTGATGAAAAAGTTGTAATGAGACAATAAAAATCTATTTATTTATTTGAGCATGCACATTCAGTCTTAACTTCAGGATCATATGTGTGACAAAATGATTTCACCTGAAGGTTCCCGCCACATCGCATCACTCTCCATCAGCAGGAGACACGGTCTGTTGTGGTCGTCATCAGCTGAGATGTGTTTCAAAGTTCCAGAAAAACACTGTAGGCTAAGTGGACCATGAAATTCCCCCAAAGGTGAGGGAGAACCTACGGTGGCCTTCAGGGACATAAAAAAAAAAAAGCAAAAGCCCCTCTCTAGAGCCGGTGTTTGGATTGTCCCTTCTGGGCTACTGTGGTAACATGGAACACGGTGGGCTGATTCAGAGCTAATGAAAACACAATGATTCTTAGTTTCAGGTGATTAAACACTGATGAAAACATAATTATGAATATTACATTCCACCTCTGCCAACAGATCCCCCTAAATCCTACACACTGGTCCTTTAAAGCAACACAAACTGGAGATTTTTGGGGATTTCCGTGCGATCAGATGAGTTTCAGCCCACATTACAAACTGCCAAAAATAATTTTTACTCCTGGCATTAATTTAAATCAAATCAACTTGCACGGTAAGCTCTGGGATTACAGTGAGGAATGTCTGCCTTGGCGGCCTCGGAGCTTCAGGTGCTAAATAGTCAAACACAACACTTACACAAATAAGATGTTGTGACACAGACGACACGGACTAAACACACACACACACACACACACACACACACACACACACACACACACACACACACACACACACACGCTGTGAAGGTGCACTTGGATGTAAACTGGAGGATTTTGGCTCAAGCGTCTGTCCCTGTTGCTGACTGCAGTTCAACATGTTGCCTTTGCTCTCCCTCCTACAGGTAACACATGTCAAAATGGCCTCATGCCTGCCCTGGTGCGTCCCACCCTGCCTGCTGCCGTCCAGACCTCACTGGGCATGAAGCAGTTTCTGCCATTTCCACTTGAAACGGCCTCGGCGGTCAGCCTCTTCCCAGGATTCAACACGGTCAGTGTCCTCCTTTCCCCTCCTGTGGCTCTCTGCTGCTGTTTCACCGTCACTAAGGTGTTTCAGGATGGAGATATGACAGATTTAATATCTCTGTATCTGACTTCTGTATTTGCACGTCTTTATTTAAAGCTGTTATCACTGCCTGAGAGCAACATTACGAAGACTTTAGCTTTGACTCAGCGAGGTCCGACCGTCCGCAACCTCATTTTCACCTCAAGTTCATGGCGGCTGTCTTTTCATAAAATGAAAATTACCCATGAAACATCTAATTACGACGATGCTTTTAAAGCTTTAAGGCAACACTGAAAATGAAAGGAATACATTTAATGGTGTTGACACTCTTCTAAAGAGGAGTAAATCTATCTGTGGAGGAAATGTATGTTTAGATATGCAAACGTTTATTCAGCTGCTACAAGATGGAAAATGTGGAAGTTGATCTCTGACAACTTTGGTGTATTTCATTTCTCTTTTTGTAATGCAAAAAGCATTGAAGGAAAAATGTTTGATCACTGTGACAGTCCATTCTAGTCTGCAGATAGTAAGTTGCATATTCAGCTTTGTCTTGGTGATTTCCTGGCTGCTCTGTCTTTAGGCTATGACAAAAACTCATAAACTGAAAGCAGGTTATTTGTCTTTGAAGAATTTGGCCGCTGAGTACAACTCATCTCCTTGTTATCATCCACATCTGTTTCTTTTTTTTTTATCTCAAACACAAACATAGTTTACCAAAGAACATGTTGGAAACCAGTGTCTAGCAGTTGTACACAATAGCGCTGTCTGAAACATGATAAAAAATTGATTTTAAGTTTAATTGATTGTCGAACATCCACATGTTTTTTTTTTTTTACACTATCAGCTACAAATTGTGCATCTGCATCAGGAGTTCTGAGAACAATGACAGATACGTTCATGCTTGACGGTGCGTCGTTGGCTGTTAGGAATATGTAGTGTGACTATGTGTCACCTCTTCGTGAGAGTGACTGTTGTGCATCATACGGAGGTTCAGCTGCAGAAATGTTGGAAAGCAGTGCAAATAATTTGGTAACACTTTCTTTTACAGATCTGTAATTTCTAAATACGTTGCTCAACATTTATATGAAATTTCACGGAGAGGAAACTGTGGAGAAGAGATGGAGTTCAGTGGTTGAATTTGTAATGAACTAACTCCGATTAAATGTTAGTGTAACCTGGAGAGTCGGTGCACAGCAGGTCAGCTGAACATGCATCCACATGAGAGCAGACAGCTCAACACACATTGGGTCTACAGTTTAAAAATGATTTACTTTGGATTAGAATTAGCTTTTCTTTCAACAATATTTCCTATTTGCTCTTTAATTTGGACGGAGTTACAGTCACTAACGTGCAGGAAACTTCCTTGATCATCCAGGGAATTACAGACCAGTGACGGAACATGTTACACGTGAAGTAAGCCTTCAGTCCGAGAATTTAACAAACCAAATGATTAATTAATGAATCGAAAATGTAACTGACACATTCATTGAAAACGTAAACAGCTGTAGTCTTAAATACAATTTGCTCCCACAGTAAGAGAAGCTTACGGAGACGTTTTTATGGTTATGTTCAGGCACTGACTTGAAACACGACACAACGTGTTCACGTTGTCAACAATTCACTGAAAACTTTCCCTGACTTAACCCTTCCCTAACCACACGTGGGTCTCCGGTGGCAGGTCCCGCGTCTCGTACGTTCAGCGGTAGACCCTGAACGCCTCCCTACGAGTTGACTGTGTTACAAAAATGCAGCACTGAAAAGAAAAACTGCTTGTGGAGATAGTCCAGGCTGCAATAATGGTTCCCATCACGGCGTAATTAAAAACACAAATCCCCTCCCAGTCTACGCTGTTACTGGCCTGGTGTGCTGTCTGCTGTATAAATAATTATATTTTAGGTTTACTATTTATTATATTTGTTATTTTTAGAAGGAAAATATTCCAACATGTTTTAAATTTTGAGCTAATTCCTTAAGAGCTCTTTTTTTTTTTTTTAATACCCTGGTGTCACATTTCAGAGACAAACCCTCTAAATGGCCATTCCTCCACTATTGATAACTGCTGGAAATTGCTTTCTGAAATGCAGCGATAGCATGTGGCTACACAGGCCTTATTGGATTTGCAACCAGTGAGGCGCTACCTTTTAAATGGAGCACTCACCCAATGTGCACTTACTGTACCAGGACTCGTGTGTGTACACTGGTATGGATCTATTGATTTTTCTCTTTTGAAAGCAGAGAGTAATTATGAGGAAATATGTTGCCTCGCGCATATCGAATCAGCGAGGTCATCAAGAAAAAAAAAAAAATACGATGACTCCTAGAAAAAAGGAAAAACACTTTTTTTTTCAGTGGCTTCTTTTGAATTACGGGGATAGCTCAATTTAAAATCTGTTAGAAAGAGAAGTTGAAATATGGAGCACAGCTGGATAAGAGTTAGAAAAAAAAAAAACAGGCACATGAAGAGAAAAACGTGGGGACATCAGAGGGAAAAGCCTCGATAACCCACGGGAAGACAGATTGTTTCTGCGAGGAGACGTTCATGAGAAAGTTCAGGAATACTGCGACCCTTTTCTCGCCCCGTCTAATCTGTATTTAACAGACTGCAGATAATAAGTAATACACTGGGAAGCCTCCAAATGGTGGAAAGCTGATATTAGATGAACACAGAGTAATCACATCGTGCTCTCTGTGTGTGTGTGTCGCGCACACACACACACACACACACCCGTGTCTGTTTCCCTTTTTGTCGCTTATTCCCTCAGAGCTCCTGATTTCCTAATCACCAGCAGAATGTGGTGCCGTTGTAATGACACCAGCAGAGTTCATACACAAGTTACTGTCTGTTGAGCTGCCTGGCCTGCGCAGCACAAGCCCCCTTTTTTCAACACCAGTGTAACTTTTGGCTTCGGGGGTGCAACAAAAGGAGCAGCTTGTAGGTCTGATCGGGTTTCTTTATGTGTCACACAGCGGGTGGCTCGCTGGGTGGGGAAAGATGTTTTACCAATCATATAAACACAGTCGGAATAACTGAAACTTTCACATGTGTGCCAAAGAGGAAAAGTCCTGGATTTAGTTTATTACTAAAAAATAAAGTGTAAGTGAGTGTTGGCAGTTGTACTTAATTGTCTGAACGGCCCCGTATTTTACACTTTTCCTGTGTTTTATTTGAAGTGTTGATCCATTAGAAGATATATTTGTAGTTTTAAGAACCAAAAACCATCTCAGTGTAGTTTTACATCTCCTTTCTCAGGCTTCTCTCTAACAACAGGTCAATCAACAGTCAGCCAATCAGAAGAGAGGAGGCTCTGACCCTCTCTCTGACTGCGTTGTTGTGACATCACAAAGTTACAGAAGTCCCGACGTCTCGTTTTCAGGCTCAGTTTCTCAATTCAGGCTGCGTGTGTTTCTCTGTGGACTGAACGCTTTGATACTTTCACAGTATTGATGTAAAACATAGACCTGATCTATAATCAGAAAAGACATGAAAGCCTTGTGCAGAACGTGAAAAGCTTGTATGTCTAGGTTTTGTCCTAGTTTCTCCCTGTCTAGCAGAAATAAGAGAAGAGGTCAATACGGATGCAAAGAAGGGCAGATTGGAGGAAGTAGGAAAGAGGGAAAGGGCAGAGGGATAAAACAACAATGAAGATAATAGTGATGTTTTTCAGTTTAATTAATGATAATGTGAAATGTGGAGTCAGAGTGCGATGTTTCAGTTTAAGTACTTTGTCTACAAGTCACTAAATGATCTGGATCCTGAATATATTTCTCAACATATGTTTGATAAGCCTGACAGGTCTCAGTTAGTGGTACCTAGCCACCTAGCCTCCACTTCTGGAACCAGCTCCCACTGGACATGAAAATCTGCCTGAACCGTAACTGGCTTTAAAAAGAAGCTAAAAACTGCTGTATTCTCCTCTGTCTTTATTTTATCCTTTAATCGTTGCACTTTAATTAGATATTGTCAGTTTTATAATCTATGTTTTTAATACTGTTTTCTTTTTTAATGCTTCTTTAATTTCTGTTAAGTGCTCCGATTTACCTCTGTCTGTGATAATGTGCTGTATAAATAAATTTACCTTTGCCGTTACAAAGCTGCACTGATGGAAATACTAAAATATGTTCTGAAGTGAAGTACGTGAAAACTTTCTCTAACTAAAAAAAAAAAGTACTTTCCACCTCTGCATATGAGCGACGCGGCTTCACTCGAGCAGTTTATTAGAAGCTGCAGATCTGATTATAATTGTGCACAGAAACCAAACAGCTGTTCAATTGAGTGCAGCAGACGTTGTGATTTACAGATCAAGCTGAAGCTAGTTTCCATCTGTACTCCCACTGAAAGAACACACTTCTATCTGCTCAGATGAGGTCAGGTTTGCTTACTTGACTCCGGGGCTCAATAAACGTTTATGCTCTCTTATTAAATAAAAAAAAAAAATAAAGAAAATACCAAATGATTCTATAGATGATGATGACAGATCTTCCATTATCGCACTGCAGCAGTAAGAGCTCTCTTCATCCTAGAAACGCTCAATTTTTTGTGCGCAGTACAAAAGGAAATAGAGAATAGTGAAAGCGCACATGTATGTGTGTGTGTGTGTGTGTGCGTGTGTGTGTGTGTGTGTGAACACCTGCATGAAATGGCACTAATACTGAAGTCTCATGTTGAGTCTTTGCGCAATGGTGTTCTGGGCCGAGCGACTGACATAACCAGGAAGTTCTTAGCTGGAGGGAAAGAAAAAACAAGATTTCTTTCTTTCTTTCTTTCTTTCCTTTTTCCCCAAGTGGGGCAAAAGTAATACATGAAAACATAACAGAAAAATGTGACTTCAAGTCATAAAAAAAGACTTAATACATGTAAGTACATGTGCTCAGAGACTGGGGGGAGAAAGGTCTTTCAGGAGGCTCCAGTTCAAAAGGAGCTTTCAGACGAGATGTTGTCGTAGCTTCCCAGCTAGCTAGCTATCTATGTAGCTGTTGTATTGCAC